ACATTTGGTGTATATCTTTCCAGCCTTTCATTATTTTATGCACATTGAAAAAAATAGTTTTCATGACTGAATTCCCTTTGGAATCACTCTTCCATTGTCTTGGACAGGAGGTCCTGGCTTCTGTTTAAACAGCTGACTAACCTTATCAGGTGGTTGTTTGGCCACATTCTCAATGTTCTCTCCTGAAGAGACTTTCTCATTCTTTATAGTATGGAAAAGCTAAGAGTTTTCCAGATCTTTAAGTTCCGCTTCCCTTTTGATTAACAATTTTGTCTTTAAATCACTTTTCTCCTCTACTGTTTTACTATAAACAGTCAAGAGGAGCCAAGCTGCACCTTCAACACTTTGCTTAGAAATGGCTTTAGCTAAATATCCAATTTCATTACTCACAAATTCTGCCTTCCACGAAACACTAGGATATGAACACAATTCAGCCAGCTTCTTTGCTGGTTCATAACAGTATTGCTTTTCTTTCAGTTTTCAATACCATATTTCTCTTGTCTAAGAAATCATCAGATGGCCTTTACCATGCATATTTCCACCAACATTCTGTTCACTACTGCTTAGCTCTTCTCTAAGAATATTGAGGCTTTCTCTACAGCTCTTCTCCTTTCCTTCTGAGCCTTTGCCAAAATTTCCCTTAAAGATCCATTTACAGCAATGTAGACTTCTTAAAGCATGCACCTCCAGACTCTTCCAGCCTCTATCCATTACCCCTTCCAAACTAATTGCATATTTTTGGGTGTTTGTTAAAGCAGCACTCCCACTCTTGGTACTGATTTTCGGCTGTAGTCCATTTGGGCTGCTGTAACAAAATACTATAAACTGGTTGGCTTATAAACAACATAAATGTATTGCTTACAGTTCTAGAGGCTGGGAATTCCATGATCAATGAGCTGGGAGATTCCGTGTCTGGTGAGAGCCTGCTTCCTTGTTCATAGAATGGCACGTTCTCACTGTCTTCACATGCTGGAAGGAACTAGCTAACTCTCTGAGGTTTCCTTGATGACAGCACTAATCCTAATCATGAAGGCTTTACTCTCATGACCTAATCACTTCTCAAAGGCCCCACATCCTAGTATCATCTCCTTGGGGGTTAGGATTTCAACATATTAATTTTAGGGGGGCACAAACATGCACACCATAGCAGTGTGTTTGTAATCATTTCTTCTTTGCTAGTGGTTATTAGGTCAAAATGAATTTGCTTTGGAGAGCTGGAAAAGGGTTGAGAATGAACAAAGAAGAACTCAGTACATAGCTAAAAAAAAAAAAAAAAACCCACACACAAACCTAAGAGTGAAGGGAGAAGGAAAGGAGAAATAAAAACTAGTCTAGCATAAAACATGGAGAAGAATACTCACTCATAGAGGATGCTGGGCTTCCTGGCAGAAGTTCCAATGCCAGGCATTTGGAGAAGCAGGATGAAGAAATAGAGGGGTCTTGAGTACATTGGCCTCACTAACAGAGAGGGTCCAAATATTCACAATATTGTAAGGTCACATTACTTTTTCTCTGATTTAAAAAAGAACCAATTTGGCCGGGTGCGGTAGCTCACACTTGTAATCCCAGCACTTTGGGAGGCCAAGGTGGGTGGATCGCTGGAGGTCAGGAGTTTGAGACCAGCCTGGCCAATGTGGAGAAACCCTGTCTCTACTACAAATACAAAAAATAGCCAGGTGTGGTTGTGGTATGTGCCTGTAATCCCAGCTACTTGGGAGGCTAAGGCACAGGAATCGCTTGAACCTGGGAGGCAGAGGTTGGGGTGAGCTGAGATTGTGCCACTGTACTCCAGCCTGGGTGACAGAGTGAAACTGTGTCTTTAAAAAAAAAAAAAATTAATTGTCAAAAAATAACTAAACTCTCACCATCCAAAGATTACCACTGTTGACATTTGGTGTATATCTTTCCAGCCTTGGATTATTTTATGCACATTGAATAAAAATAGTTTTCATTACTATATAATATTGAGGTACACACATGCACTTAACCAACACCCTAGTGTTGGACATTTGGGTTATTTCCTTTTAACTTCTTGTTTATTAACACAAACATGAATGATCTGGCAGGTAGATGTTTCCACACTGAGGATTTAGTGATTGACTGGCTTGTAACAGATCTGCTGCCATAGACTTTGTAGGGTCTCTCAGAGCATGCATGCTTGGGGTAAGGATTCAAGTGAAAACCATCCTCAGTTTATGCCCAGAAAGGGGTCTGCCCGGGGTCACTAGTGCATCTTTAATTGCTGTTAGGTCTGATCAATACAAGTCTGCAAATACCCAAGGATACCCAGTCTTCCTTCTTGGAGAACTCAAGTTCTGCTTCCTGTCAATACTAACCAGATGAATTCTCCAAAGCAGTTACTGTTGTTTCTTAACAATGCAGATTGGTATGACTGCATAAAATATCTTCCTGAAGTGAACTGAGGGAAACAAAAGGCAAAAGGGAAATTCCTGTTAGTTTTGCCAATTTTTTCCTTTTTTTTTTTTTCTGAGACAGAGTCTCTCTCTGTCACCCAGGGTGGAGTGCAGTGGTATAGTCTAGGCTCATTGCAATCTCTGCCTCTTGGGTTAAAACGATTCTCCTGCCTCAGCCTCTTGGATAGCTGGGATTACAGGTGTGTGCCACCACATTCAGCTAATTTTTGTATTTTTAATAGAGATGGGGTTTCACCAAGTCAGCCAGGCTGGTCTCGAACTCCTGACCTCAGGTGATCCACCTGCCTCCGCCTCCCAAAGTACTGGGATTATAGATGTGAGCCAACACCATACCCAGCCTAATTTACATTTTAAAAGTTAAACCAACAAGCTTTTCTAGGCATAGTTAACCAAGCAGATGGCAAAAGGGAGAAAGCTGTTTGTGCAGAAGATTGTAATGCCAATGAGCCGACCAAAATTTCTTAGCCTGGCTTCTTGTTGCGGGAGGACAGTTTGAGAGACTGGAAGTTTCTAACACTGGAAGTGTTAGAAAATGGAATAAAAATAAATCCCCTGCTGTGTAACTCTCTCTTCCCCACTGGGAGCAGTGCCTGCCACTCTCCTGGCTGCAGTGGGACCCACTGCACCCTGATGGTAGAGGAGAGAGAAGCTAAGGAGCTACCTCACAGAATGGGCCTTTGTGTCATGAGCCCTGATAGTCAAATACTAAAGCAAGCTCATTTCCTCCACCGGCTAATGTGTGCAGATGCAGCTTCGACATTTAGCATTAGTCTGTCCTCTGCATTTCAAGGGAGCTTTCAGTCTAATAAAATCTTGTCATTGTGAGATCCAGAAAACTTACTGCTCTCTCTAGTTTTTCTGTATTTATATTTGTTTAGTGGTATAAGGCTGAATGAAATGGAATTCACTTCACATTTTCCGGCATGTTTATGAATTCTAGAATCTATGTGTTTTAAGTTATTGTGCATCTCTAAACAACAGGCAGTGAGGTGAGACCACAGAACCAGGCTTTAAAATTTTTCATCTGTGTTGTCCACATGTATTGAGTATGCCCTCAGTAACTTCTATCTGTATCTGTGAATAATCAAAACATCCCTCTCTTGCCTTTGGTGTTTGGCTCTGAGCTGTCTCCTAATGCTGCCCTGTAGCTGGTTGTCTGGGACATCACATGGGAAGGATGGGAAGACACACATGGAAATGGTTAATGATAGATACTAACTACCAAGTATCCAGGGCTTCTTGTATGCCAGTCACTCTACTTAGCACTTCACATACTTCATCATATTTAATCATCACAACAATGTTTTTTACTTTTGTGTTTGAGGAAACCCAGATTCTGAAAGGTTAAGTAACTTGCTCAGGATCACACGGCTGCGTAGTTTGTGGTAGAATTTGATCTTGATCCTCTGACTCTAAAGTCCATTTCTTAAAGACGAAAATTCCTTTTCCAATAACATCAAAAAGAACAAAATATTCAGGAATAACTTTAATCAAAGAGGTACAAGACTTGTGCACTGGACACTACACACATTGCTGAAAGAAATTTAAAGAAGACCTGATAAATGGAAAAACAGCCCGAGTTTATGGAGTGAAAGACTCAATATTGTTTTGATGACAAAACTACCCAAAGTGATTTATTTTACTTTTTCTTTGTTTTGTTTTTTAGACGGAGTCTCGCTGTGTCACCCAGGCTAGAGTGCAGTGGTATGATCTTGGCTCACTGCAACCTCTGTCTCCCTGGTTCAAACAATTCTCCTGCCTCAGCCTCCTGAGTAGCTGGGATTATAGGCATGTGCCACACCACGCCTGGCTAATTTTTGTATTTTTAGTAGAGATGGGGTCTCACCATATTGGCCAGGCTGGTCTTGAACTCCTGACCTCAGGTGATCTGCCCACCTGGGCCTCCCAAAATCCTGGGATTACAGGTGTGAGCCACCGTGACCCACCTTATTTTATGTTTTCTAAAGTCTGTATTCTTAACTGTTATGCTCTGCTGCCTACTAGGCAAGAGACTTGTTCCACATACTGTCTGCCATGTTTCGAAAACAACTTAGGGTGAAATGACACTCCCACACATCATTTTCCCTTGCTGTCAGCCCCTGTCTTTTTCTCTGTCTCTTCTACCAGTCCTGTGTCTCTTTTTGACTGGGCCCTGCTTTTACCAGCCTCAGACATGAGTAGGTGATGGAAGAATTCAGGCAGGGTGGCGCCTGTAGCCTAAAGAAACTCCAAATTCCCAGTGGGGAAAATACACCGTGTGCTGCCCTTCCACTTGGGTTTTCCCAGGGCTGATGCTGGAGTGGAGGGATCAGTGCAGAACGTGGCTTTGGTTCTTGGCACTAGGCTAGCTTGTTGATCCCCATCCCCCATTCTTATTTTGAGACAGTGTTCAAGCTCAGATATGATTCTTCCACCCAAGAATGTTGAGTGTTCCCAAGACAAGCCAAACCAACCCTCTGTCAGCCGGCATAGCAATAGTTTGTGGGAAGTTTATGACAAATCTTATCGAGGGGACTGTTTTAGAAATCAATCACCATCTAATGACCTCTTTTGTTTCCACTTTAGATGCAGCAGCAGGAGCATGAATCCCTGAAGGCCAACCTGTGTGTCCTGGCCCTGGGGCTAGGCCGCCTTCTTTGCTGGTGGTGGCTGGCCGAGCTGATGGCTCACCTGATGTATGTGCATGCCATCTACAGCAGCATCCCCCTCCTGGAGGCTGTCTCTGGTTGGACGTTAGGTAACTGCGGGAATCACTAACAGTGGGATGAGCCCCCATAGTCAGTTAGCATCAGAGTGGAGCTGGAGTGGGGGTGAGGAGGGGTGCAGCTGCCTAGAGCATACCCTCTTTATTATTATTTTTTAACCTACTCCTCTTGTGGCCAAGATTATGCACGTGAGAAGTGGTTGATGTGGTTGACGTGATTGATGGAAGTGAGAGCTGTGCTTATAATCTGGGAACCAAGAATGGTGGCATTCTCCTCTGTAATGGGATCCTACTGAGCTTAGCTGGGTCCCCATCTTCACAGATGGCCAGCATTGCATTTAGCAGTAGAAAGCAGGAGTTGCTGGGGGCAGCTTTGAGTTCATTCTAAGAGGGAATGCTCCAAGATTGAGTTGTTCCACAGTCTTCCTTGCTCTTTGTGCATAGGGTATAAAAGAATACGAGGCTGGCTGTGGTGGCTCATGCCTGTAATCCAAGCACTTTGGGAGGCTGAAGCGGGCAGATCACTTGAGGTCAGGAGTTTGAGACCAGCCTGGCCAAGATGGTGAAATCATGTCTCTACTAAAAGTACAAAAATTAGCCAGGTGTGGTGAGAGACACCTGTAATCCCAGCTACTCGAGAGACTGAGGCAGGAGAATCACTTGAATCTGGGAGGCAGAGTTTGCAGTAAGCCAAGGTCATGCCACCACACTCCAGCCTGGGTGACAAAGCATGACTCTGTATCAAAAAAGAATGAATTTGAGGATCACACAGTTGTAGGTTTGAGTTTCAGCTTCACTAATGACTGGTGGGTAATCTTGGCAATTTACTTAACCTCTGAGCTCCAGCACCCTCATCTGTAAAACACGGAGACTTAGCTTTGTGGAATCATAGGAGGATATTAGGAAGTGCCGCACATTGAGGGTATACCTTGTAAAGTGTCTGGGGGATAGAATAAAGGGTGTGTGTGTATTTCCCTCTGTAGATCCCCTTTTCTTATCTACCCTTTCCTGTCTGCCAGGGAGGTGGCATGGCAGTCTTATTTCCTCCGCAGGGCTAGTCTCCAGTATAGGATTTGTCTGTGGAGAAACCACTGTTCTTTATCCCCCTGGCCAAAACAGCAGAGCCCATGCCCTTTTCTGAATAAAATCTCTGCACTTCCTTGTTCTCTCTCCTTTTGAGGACTCCCGCAGTGACTGACTTCTGCCTGTGCTCTGACCTCCAGCCTGTAGCTCCAATAACTGTGTGATCCTCAGGCAGATCAAGCTGTTTCCTGCTGAGGGCAAGAGTACAAGCCCGACTCCCTCCTTATCTGTTTAACATTTCATAGATCTTCCTAAACAAATCTTGATTGTTCTTGGTATCACACGTACTTAATCAGGATGTTTCCAAGGAAGAAACCTTTAAGATGGAAAAAATGCTAAGCTCTTTTAATGATAGTCTCTTTCTTCAAAACAAAATTTTTTATAGTTTGGGGTTGCTTAATATTGTAAGGTTTTAATGATACAATTTGACAAACAGAATATGATTAAATGATAGCTTATACTAAGTCAGATCTCAGTTGTATGGGATACAAACTAAGGGACTGTTTCAGCGTGAGGGTTTTTAAACTACAAGTAATGGAAGACACAATTCAAAATGGCACTTAAACAATAAGGAAAAGTTATTCTATATAACAATGATACCTAAGTTCAGCACTAGGGGTAGTAAATTATGTGACTCTGATGTCACCAACACACCTTTTGTATGTCTACCATTCAGCTTAAACTAACCAGAATCTTAGAAGCCCTTAGTTTGTACTCCTAATCCCGTCAGCCTCTGTCACCCTCTCTGAAAAGGTAACCTGAATATTGTATTTATCCTTTTCTTCTTTTTAGTCGTACTTTTACCACAGTTAAAACCTTAAAATTGCATATGTTAACACCTCTTCATATGAACAGATTCATACTTGGTATGTATGTTCTGTGACTTGATTTTCTTGTTTAACATGTTTTTGAGAAATACTCATGTTAACATTCATGTAACTAGGTACCACTTATTTTCACTACTGTATGGCATTCCAGTGTATCCATATAGAAGATTTTATTTGTCCATTCTACGTATAGGAGGATATTTGAGTTTTTTAACAGGGTTTTCATATAATGCCATTTATAATGCTGTTCCATATAACGCCATTTCTGTGTCTCTTGGAGCTCACGTGTAAGGGTTTCCCTGTAGGGCTATAACTTTCAAACTCTATGGCACATTACCCACAGTAAGAAATACATTTTGTATTACAGGTGTGTGCATGAGTGTATGCATGTCTGTGTGTGTGTGTAAACTCTCACAAAACCATACTTTACCTTGAACCACCTGCAATGTATACTGGCTGATATTTTCTGTTCCATATTATTCTGTTTTAAAATATTCGTTGGAAATCCCGGAATTGGATGAGTCACTATCCAGAGTTTGTCAAACATTGCTCAAATATATCTATATCTATATATCTATATCTAGAAATAAGTATCATAGGTAGTATATATGTTCAGATATATATGTTCAGATAACATAAATTATTTTTTAAATTGGCTAAACCAATTTATGCTCTTCTTGGCAGTGTATGAGAGTTTCCATTGCTTGAAATTCTCACCAACACTTGATACTACTCAAAGCAATTTATAGATTTAATACAATCCCTATCAGTGACATTCTTCACAGGAAAAAAAACAAAAACAAAAACAAACAAACAAAAAACCTAAAATTTGTGTGGAACCAGAAAAGAACCGGAATAGCCAAAGCAATTCTGAGCAAAAAAAAAAACAAAGCTGGAGTCATAACACTGCCACACCTCAAAATATACTACAAAGCTGTAGTAACCAAAACATCATGGTACTGGCATAAAAACAGGCATGTAGATCAATATAAAAAAATAGAGAACCCAGAAATTAATTCACATATCTTTTAATTTTGAAAATCTGGTGGTTGTGAATTTTATCTCATGGTTTTAATTTGCCTTTCCTTGGTTACTAATAAATTTGAGCATCTTTTCATAGGCTTAAAGGACTTTGTTGTATCATTTCTTATTTATTTTTTAGACAGTCCCACTCTCTCACCCAGGCTGGAGTATGGGTGATCTCAACTCACTGCAACTTCCACCTCCTGAGTTGAAGCAATTCTTATGCCTCAGCCTTCCAAGTAGCTGTGATTACAGGCGTGCACCACCATACCCAGCTAATTTTTGTATTTTTAGTAGAGACAGGGTTTCACCATGTTAGCCAGGCTGGTCTTGAACTCCTGACCTCAAGTGATCCACCCACCTCAGCCTCCCAAATTCCTGAGCTTACATCTATAAGTCCCTGTGCTGGCCTGGTATATCATTTCTAATGAATAACTGTTGATAATTTTTGCCCATTTTTCTAATGGGATTTCTGTCTTTTTCTTATGGATTCATAAAATTTATTCTATATTATTTTTAAAAAGTCTTATGTGTAGTTGCAAATATTGACATCTTTTGGTTTGTGGTTTGACTTCTAATGTTTCTATGTTGTCTTTTGGTGAACAGTCTTTATTTTAATGCAGTTACATTTAGACATTTTTATTTATCATTTTTACTTTTTTGGGTCTTTCAAAAATAATTATTTCAAAAATATAAACAAAAATAATTAGGTAATTCTCCATTTTCTTCTAAAGCTTTTAAAGTTAAAAAAAACTTTGGTTATGATGGACATTTGCATCATAGACTGATAAAATATAAACCATCCAAAATAATTTTTTTTAAAATTGACAAATAATAACTGTACATACTCATGGGGTACATGGTGATGTTTTGATACGTACAATGTATGGTGATCAGATCAGGGTAATTAGCATATCCATCATCACAAACGTTTATCATTTCTTTGTGTTGCGAACATTCAGTATTTTCCTTCTAGCTATTTGAAACTGTGCAATATATAATTAACGCTAGTCATCCTACAGTGCTATAGAACACTAGAACTTATTCCTTCTACCTACTGTAATTTTGTGTCTTTTAACAAATCTCTCCCTATCCCTCCTTTCCGCTTGTAGTATTTTCTCTTTGGTTTTTTCACTTCTGTATGAACATTTATTAGCTTCCACCTATGAGTGAGAACATGTAGTGTTAACTTTTTGTTTCTAGCTTATTTCACTTAACAGAATGTCCCCCAGTTCATCTTTGTTGCCTCAAATGACAAAATTTCATTCTTTTTTATGGTGGCATGGTATTCCATGGTGTAAAAATACCACATTTTCTGTTTCTTTTTTTTTTTTGAGACAGAGTCTTGCTCCGTCGCCTGGGCCAGAGTGCAGTGGTGTGACCTCGGCTTAGTGCAACCTCCGCCTCTTGATTTCAAGTGATTCTCTTGCCTCAACCTCCTGAGTAGCTGGAATTACAGGTGCCTGCCACCACACCTGGTTAATTTTTATATTTTTGATAGAGATGGGGTTTCACCACATTGGCCAGGCTGGTCTTGAACTCCTGACCTGAAGTGGTCTGTCTGCCTCGGCCTCCCAAAGTGCTGGGATTACAGACACAAGCCACTGTGCCCAGCTTTAAATATCACCACATTTTCTTTATCCATTTGTCTGTTGTTGAACACCTAGGTTGATTACGTATCTTGGCTGTTGTGAATAGTGCTACAGTAAACATGGGGTACAGATGTCTCTTGAATATAATAATCTTCTTGTTGTTGGATAAATTCACAGTAGTGGGATTGCTGGATCGTATGGTAGTTCCATTTGTAGTTTTTTGAAGGACTTCCATACTGTTCCCCATAGTGGCTATACTAGTTTGCATACCCACCAACAATGTGTAAGAATTCACTTTTCTCTGCATCCTCATCACCATTTGTTAGTTTTTTGGCATTTTCACAGTAGTCATCCTAACTCTGGGGTGAGATGATATCTCATTGTGGTTCTGATTTGCATTTCCCTGATGATTAGTTATATCGAACTTTTCACGTATTTGTTGACCATTTCTTTTGAGAAAATATCTGTTCAGATCATTAGCCCATTTTTAAATCTGATTGTTTTGCTT